CAAAATGACTGGTGTCAATATTATTTGCCCCACAAAAAAGGTCGAATATAAAAAAATATTGCAAATATTGCACAGTTGGGGAAAAAAAAGCACTACAGCTCAGTTGTTCCCCCCTCCTTTGTCCTCCTGTTTCCCCTCCCTCTCCCCTCCAGCGAGGAGTTAAACAGTTTGATGGCGTGTGAGACAAAGGAGTTTTTAAGCCTGTTGGTTCTTGTCTTTGGGAGAAGCAACCTGTCGCTGAACAGGCTCCTCTGATTATTTACCACCGTGTGCAGAGGATGCCCAGCATTGTCCATAATGTCCAGCAGTTTCTTTAATGTCCTTTTCTCTTGGGCCGTTTCCTCCATGACACACATTAATAGCTAACATGAAAGAACCATTGTGCTAAGAACTACTTTTTCTTTTTTGTGCAGAAAGTGCAACATTACTGGGAAAAACACGCAGTCATGGATGCTGAGCAGGCGTAGGTACATACAGTACTCCCATTTATACACAGAGTGCTTAGGCTTTCAGTGAGGTAAGGTGAGCTTTAACACCCCCCATCATTGGGACTCTAAGCATCTACAAAATATCTTTCCTCCAAAGTCTCACCGTCATCCTACAGACAGCTCCCTCGTAGCATACTTGAACATGTACCTCTTTCTTCTGTTAATTCCTTAAGGCTCCAAGGACCACTCATCCTGAAGATTCTTGGGTGATGGGTACAGCGGAGAAACGTCACATTCCTCCTTGGAGCATTAACAACAGGTGTGTCACTAATAGTGGAAGGCATCGTGCTGAGTTTTAGGCTTCAGTTTTCCTTGTGATTGTGTTCAGTCCCTCTCTCACACATTGTGATGAAAGTTTTGTTTCTTATCATTTTTACACTTGTTTGATTGCTTGTTTTCTGTGGCCTCATCAGTTGCTCAATAGGTGGAATTCAAGGTTGGACACAGTTCAGTAATCAGCAGGTGAGATGGACTTCAGCACCTTTTTTTTTAAAAGTTCATTTTTATAAATCCACAAAAAGCTTCTTATACCCCAATTAAACACACACACACAGGTCTAAACTCAACAATCTCACTGAACTCATAATTACATTAAAAAGGAGACACCCTAAAACCTAAACTGAGCCCAGGTTTGTTAATATGATGCCCTTGGTTTTTCTAGCCTTAATGACCATTTACAAAAGGAACTCATTGGTGTAGGAAGCATGTTGTCTAACAAAGCATATTTTTGTAGTGCACATCAAGCTTCAAGACACTTATAGGCAGAACCTTTTTCTGTAAGAGGTTACCCTGATGAGTGTTAAGGCATAAGTCGAGTGTTGTGGGGGGTGGAAATTATACAGTGGCCCCTCTGCTGTGGTAGTGATGAGCAGTCTCATTCCTCTGTGAAAGCATGCAGAAAGAAGCAGCTACAGCAGCCCAAAATGCATCTGTGTGGCCCAGTTTTGAGTGAACTGTTAGTATCCACCTGTCCTGCTGATGCAACTTTCCAACACCTCTCTGCATCTTCACTAGCTACAGGCTGGGCTAAAGCACGACACTAAGCATTTGTCATAAGTTTCCAGTTAGGAGCCACTAATGTGCTGTGAAAGCTTTTTAATGTTTGTCCAGCTGTGTAGTGTCTGGCCTCCAAGATGTATGTGCTTCGGTTTTATTCATTGAGTGAAATTCCAGCATTTTATTAGTCTAATAATTAGCAGATATGTGTAACCACAGTAGATAGCAGTAACTTAAATTTCTTCCACCTCCAGCATTGTGGCAACAAAACGCAAAGGCCAAAGCCCACGATCCTTCAGACAAACTCCTAGTCAGCCAACCATATGTCTGCAACTCAAAGCATTTAGACATGTAGACACCTCAAATGGAGCATGAGGAACGGGAAGAAAGTTGGTTTAAATGATTGGTTGTTGGTGGTGTTGGGTTGATCTGAGTATTTCAGAAACTGCTGCGATTTTCCCACACAACTATGTCTACAGTTTAGAGAAGTATGGTCTGAAAAAGAGGAAACAGAGTGGATGATAATGTTTTGTTGACATTAGAAAATGGCCAGATTGCTTCAAGAGGAAGGCAACAAATAACCACTTGTTACACTCAAGGTACAGCGAGGAACATGTACGAATGCACAAAACCTTGAAGCAGACAGGCTAGAACAGCAGAAGACCACACCGGGTGGCACTCCTGTCAGCCAAGAACAGGAAAGAGAAGCTACAATTTACACCGTTCACAGGCTCACGAAAATTGGACAGAAGCCTGAAAAAATGTTGCCTGTTCTAGTGAGATCCAGTTTCTGCTGCAACTGATTGTAAGGCCATAATTTGATGTAAAAAGTTTGACAGAGGGGATCCATCTACTTAAGTATCCCAATGAACGCATTAATACCATGCTCTTATTCTGAAAAGACACGTTTAGAGCTCCAAATCTGAAAGTAGTTTTGTGTTCGCAGCCCAGACAAATTTTTAGCACAGGTTTTAAATTCATATCACAAATCCAATAAATAACACAGTACAAATCCAAAGAAACCACATATTAAAAGATTTTTTTATTCACAATAGAAGTGTAACAAATATAGTTTATTAAAAAGTCTGCTGCTCATTAATATCATCTTAATCCATAAGCTCAGGAGATTTTTATATAAATGTCGAGCAGCCAGTTTGCCGGAATGGAATATTTACATTTTTACTCAATAATTATAATATTAACACAATAAAACAGATTTCCCCACAAAATTAAAATATTGCATATAAATGCAAAGTAAACTATGTGCAATGGAAAGATTATCAGCAATATTTTGTACAGATACATTTCTGAGGTTCACACGTTTAAACCCTTTAAAGGAGATTTACGACCATTTACGGGAATTCAGATTGAGTTCCAGTCATTTCTAGTGGTCGTGTACCACCATGAAAAACAAATGTCAGTGTGGTCTGTATGAGACGTTTAAGGAAAGGTGGTGTATATTCAAAGAGGACTGACTGACTTTGGTTTGAACTCCTGAAACTGGTGTAATTCTCCTTTAATATTCACTAATAGAAAGGCATTGGAAAGCAACAGACCGTCAACACAATAATCATAAAATCACCAAAGACATTTCAGCTTAATCATGAAAACAACAGATAAAAAAAAAGTCTGCATGTGAGAATGAACAAAAGCCTGATGTCACACAACGTGAAGCTAAAGCAAACATCAGAAACCAAATACATTCTCCAGATCTCCTTTTGCAGGTAGTGAAACGACCAGTTCAGTGTCAAATAAGAGAGAGAGAGAAAATGTTAAAATGATAAAAATCCAGGTGGACACGAGCACAAGAGAAACTAAATTTTTTTTGAAGAAAAAGCTGGGACTGAGCCCTTTAAGTCTAATTGGGTCAAATGTTTCTAAGAATAAAAACCTTCAAAATAAAAGTCTGCACACAGGGCTTAAAAATCGACAACAACAACAACAACAACATTTATAATCATATGTATACTGCGTTCAACTAATGCCTGGAAAGCAAATTTCCCTGTTGGGAGATTACTCCTCAAAATGCTGCAAATGACTGCTGAAAATATCCCAAAATCTCACCCATTCAAATCTCTATTAACGATTATATTTACCTGAGGCTTAAAAAAAAGAAAAGAAAAGAAAGTACAACCCACACACCATTAAATGTTTTGATCTGTAACCGGACAGAAATCATCAGAAATTTTAAATAACTTAAATCACATCAGAGAGATATCAGTACCTTAATGGTGAAACGTAGCCTTAACTCTTTTCTCTCTTTTATCTAACTGCACACTGGACATTTTTGTGGGTTCAGGACTGTCACAGGGTATTCTTGACCTCAAGAAGATATTTACATGTTAGACTGTAACTTGACCATCTTAGGGAATGACGTGATAGAGAAAATACTCGGGCTGTTAGCTGTAGGTCTTAAATGCCAAGTACATAAAGTATCTAAAACCATCAGGATCAATGTGAAAGGCCAATGCCAGGTTCAGACTACACGACATCAGCGAGAAGTTGAACTCAGGAACAAGAACTGGCGTTATGGACGAAAGAATGCCTCACCACGTCCTGACTGCAGAAAGTGTAAAAGAAATAAATAAAAAATAACGCCAAGACCTTAAAAGTGAGGCTAATCCTGCCTTCTTTCTAATGGCCATCAGGGGGCGACCTCTCTGGTTTCAAAAATAAGTATTTTGTGTCCACAGACCTCTTCTCACCATGTTTTTAGATACCACTGCTACACGTCGTTAACTTTTATCTTCTTTCTCCCAAAGTCTGCATCATTAAAGAGCCTGGTTCTACCGGAGGTTTCTTCCTGTTAAAATGCAGTTTTTCCTCTCCACTGTCACCTAGTGCTTGCTCATAAGAGACTCTTTGATTGTTGGAGTTTTCGCTCTAATATTTTAGAGTCTTTTGATAGATAGAAATGATTCACATTAGTGCCCCGGATTCAATTTAATTCAGTTTTTTTTGTACAGAGACAACTAATACAGAGAAAACCCAGCACTTGGAAACAGTGGGAAGGAAAAACTCCCTTTTAACAGGAAGAAAACCCGGCTGAACCGGGCTCAGGGAAGGGCAGCCATCTGCCATCTGCCGTAACGGACTTGGGGTGAAACAAAACATCCTTGTGATTTCTTTGGTCACATTGTTGTAGTCACATAGTTTGCACGGAAGATACTGACCGGTCTGCAAACACTTGCTAGCAAAAAAAAGAAAAAAGTCACTCAACCCAAAAACGGAGAACATTTTCTTTCAAAATAAAAGTCGAGCTTGACAGTTGGAGCTTTTACTACTTTGAAGGGAAATTACGGTCTATGTTTCTGGTTTGTGCTGCCCTTTCTCACCGTTTCACTAGAGCGCAGAAAGTAGTCTAAGAGTGTTTGCAGGCACGCCAGTGTCTTCCATAAAAACTACAGGCAACCATGGCGATCAGTTTCACCTCATCACTGTCTACAATCTCCACCAACCACTCAAGGAATACAAAGCTTCTAGGTTTCTAGGTGGTAGCTGACGAATTTCTAGGCCTCCGTGCCTGTGGGCGTAGCCAATAAGTAAAAAATAATATTTTGATTTTATAATCTAATCTGACACATTATAACATATCGTGTAGTCGGAGCCTGTCACAGCAGTCGGCAGAGATCAAAGTAATCGATTACAAATTAAACCCAGCCAGCTGATAACTGTCACTGTTCAGTATCTTAACATTTACTACCAGTAAAGAACAAATTTCCTGTAGTTTTCATCTTTTTCATACAGCAACATAAAAAGGAATAAAAATAAAAACAAGAAATCAGAAGAAAATAATCACACGTTCCCTCATTAGAGGCTTTCTGTTTCAATTAATTGACGTCTCTATTGCCAAACTTGTCGGATGAAGATTCGCAAGCCCGTCCCACTGAACCCAAAACATGGATGAAGCAGAATTTTGTTACTTTGATCAGCAGCCATCAGACAGCGATGTTTACATATTTTAACCGTGCTGTTTTCAGCTCTCACTGGTTTCTGTGGTTTCATATAAAGCTGCACAGTGTGCTAACACTCTACTGTACAATGAACACTTTATGTCTTTAACTCTTTTTATGTTTTTTTGTCACATCCAGAGAAAAACAACAAAAATGTCCCTACAGTGTAGAAATAAACCTCATGTGATAGATTTGGTCATTTCCCACATAAACAGCTACATTAAGCAGCTCTCCATCTGTTTTGCTCTCAAACCTTTTCCTGTCTGCACGCCTGGCTTCCACTTTCTGTGGAAGATACCAGAAAGCCCCCAAAAAACAAAACCCCAAAACAAAGCGACCCCCCAAATAACCCAAAAAACAAACATAACAAAGCACACTGAAGCGAACAAAGACAAAAATACAAACAAAATATTCTTCGCTTCACATTGGATGGTACATTCATGCGGCTCCCTATAGATTTTCCCATCGACTCCCAGGTGGTTCCTTCGCCCCTTTTTTCTGTTGTTCTGTAAAGGTGCCAGCTCTTTAAACCCCAACAGACCAGCACACAGCTGTGAAGCTTTCTCTCTGCCAGTCTTTGTCTCTAATCCAAATAAAAACCCACAGCGCCACCTAGGGGTCGGCTTCCAATGTTTCCTATGTTCTCTAGCACAGAATAAATTAACACAATCAGCAGAATTACAATAATACACCATCACGTGGGTAATAAATGCCACTCTAACTAAACCAAACAGTAAGCTCTGCCGTCTGTACAGTGACAGAAAGAACATGAAGAGATTGGTCACAGCTCAGAGAATAAGAAACGATATGTCAGTGTTGGTAAAAACCGGGGCTTGAGCATTTTGGGCTTTACTTTTCCAAACAAAATAAAAAAAATCTGGGAGTTTAGCATCGTGAAAACACAGGACTGTGGTATGGTTTGTCAAAGCTTCATCTTTTGTGAATAGTGGCGATTTTGAGGTGGCAGGAAGTAAAAAATTCTGAATGCTTGGGCACTGAATTGGGAAAAATGGGCTCTTCTAAAGGGAGAGAAGTAGTGCTGTAGTGCTATTCATCCATCTAGATTATTTTGTTGTTAGCCGACTGTTTTTGTAGATATTGGCTGTAGAGATTTCTGCCCTTTCTTGAATATTGAGTTTTTTATGTCTTGATGCATGCTCAATCATCCAAGTAAGTAAATCTCCAAAAGTTGATTCTGTTCATCTGGACGTGGCGTTTTCAGTGGGGGAAACGTTTCGTCACTCATCCAAGTGACTTCCTCAGTCTCAGCTAACTGTGGTTTCCCCAATCTTACGTACTGTTTATAACACTGGAGAAACCTGCAGTCAGCTGAGACTGAAGAAGCCACTTGGATGAGTGACGAAACGTTTCCCCCACTGAAAACGCTACGTCCAGATGAACAGAATCAACTTTTGGGGATAAACCTTTCATGAATCCACAAAACTCTACAAACATTCTTGTGAGCGGTTTCATGCATTTCTTTTTCATCAAACTGTGCCCATTAAACGTGCTGAAAGAAGTGCACATAAACCCATGATGTTTTCCTCTTGACTGTATGTTCTCCAAAACTGGAGGACTCACACCAAAAAAATCTAGATGGATAAAACAACACTGCAGGTAAGCTGGAAGATGCAGAACTGATGACGAAACAAGAAAAAAACCCCCAGAAAGCACTGATTCTGAAACCCTTACAGACTGATTTACCTGCTCTGAGACACCTGGGGCAAATGTTCTTTAACCTGCTGAGAAAAATAACCTGCACAAGCGTCGCTCAGCCAGAACAAATAAATCAGCTCAGCAGTCATCCTGTTGTTGACTGAACTTTCTAATGACTCACCATCTGTCAGTTTAAAGCTCATTTGGAGGATAAGCAGAACTGAATGTGCAGTTCTATGAGCTAGGCCCTCGCTCCATCAAATATTCAATATAAAGGCTCAAAGTACAACAGTGCTTGTTTTCCCTTTCCTTGTTTGTTGAGCTGTAAATACTTTTATGGACATAGAAGTAGCTGTTGACTTATCAGACTACGGTTATTTAGACTGTAATATTTAGACTTACCACTAGATGTCAGTATAGCCAAACAAATATGTGTTGACTGAGCCCTGCACAGGTCTCAAATGATTAGACTGCGATTCCCAACAGAGACGCAGACTCTGGAGATGGAAAAAGTAAAGCGCATAGGACTTATTTTCGATTTTAATTCTGAACTCAGGACTTTGGTGTTCTGATCTCCCTCTTAGCACAACAAAGCCCAAGTTCCTACCAACTCTTGAGCCATTTATCAAGCCCAACTTAGTCCAAACGTCAAATTAAAAAGCAGTTATCATCCTTTAATCCATGTCTAGATTTATTATAATCCTCATCAGAGCAATGGGAGCTCTTAGTTAAAGCTGCAATACTGCTTTGAAACTGCTTTTTGTGTTTGCGTGAGCTGCTTTCTCCCTCCTTCTCTACAGCGAAGGCACTAGATCGAAGACTAAACTGGATTAAATCTGGTTCCTGTGTGGCATCGGGAGAAGTCTTCACTGTGAAATTAAACTAAAATGACCAGGCGAGCGCGACTCTGAAGATACAAAAGCAGCAAACACGGTCACAAACTCTACATGTGAGTGGAGGATGAAAAAAAACGAAACAAACAAACCCGTTAACGACAGCACGGTGAAGCTGCGTTGCAGTAGTATGGCTTCTTGTGTGTGTGAAGGTGGATAGTTATAGAAGAGTCAAGCGACGGCGTCTCCTCACAGAGGAGGGAAGATCCTACAGGCTGCCCTACGCGGACCTGGAGGACGGAAACAAGAAGAAGCAACACCGCGGTGAAGAAGAGGACGAGGGCTCGACTGATGCACAAGGATTACAGAGGACTGTAATAAATCAGTTTCCTCTTGTAGAGAGCCTGGAAGCTACATTTTTAATGCATACACATGGTCAATTGTGAGGATATTAGCATTTTCAGAAGATTTCTGTTGAATGTCAGGACCTAATCAGTACCTAATTCTTTCTACAGCTTTCATCCGCACTCCAACTAATCTCCATGCTCCATTACAGCTGTGCAGACATCATCTTTGGAGTAAGACTGTGAAAAGTGGTTGAACGCTCCATCAGACTGAGGCAAATGTTCCTTTTTTTTCTTTTGGTTCATGCTCTTTTCAGTGTTTAAAAGGAAGAAAGAAAAAATGTGTATTTTATTTTTCAGTAAATGGAGAAAAACTGTCGAACGAATTCTGATTCAGTTTTTAAAAAAACCTGTGCTGGTCGAACCCCCAGAGCACATATGAGAAGGAGAAAGACATCTAAAAGCGGGTCAAAGATGCAGATGAAAAGCAGAAGAAGAATACGGAGGAGGAGGAGGATGGCTTTGTGTAAACATCGTGGGGAGAAAGTGGAGTTACTGGCAGGTAATGAGCTGGTGCGGCTGGTCATCATTTGTCACATCCAACTCAAGAGAAAGGAAGGAGGAAGAAGAGTCGGTCAGGTTTATAAAAAGAGGCTCGGGTTGTGCTGCGTCTTTCCTTTTTTTCCTATTCTTTTTTTAAGAAAACCAGCAGTTCTCTGACGACACTATGAAACACTCAAGTCGGTGCAGGAAAGACCGGTTCCTAGTTCCTATTCAGATGTTGTTGTGGTAGAGCAGCAGGTAGAAGACGACACATGTGAAGGGAATTGAGCGTCCGTTCACGCGGCCAGCCAGCCTTGTGATCCTCAGTGGGGAGCTTTTCCTTGGTGTGGTGCCCAAACACTCGGGCTCCATGGTAGTTCATATCAGTGGTGAATGACTGTCAGCGTCCTCCTCCTCATCAAAAATGGCTACTAGCAACAATTAAACTGATGAATAAAGTGATAGCTGGTCACACTGTCCCTCCAAATGAACAGAAAAGCGAAGGAAGTCAAACCGAGGAGTGAAATAAACAGCCTTTTTTTTTTCTTTCTTTAGATCTTGATTCAAATTATTATGTCTACATTTTGATGAGCTATCATGTTATTCAGCAGTACATATGTTGCTTTGGGTCAGCCTTTGGACTCAACCAGAGAAGAAGAAAAAAAAATCAAGTGAAGGAAAACAAAACAAAAAAACCCCTGGAGTCTCCAGCGAGAACCCGGCTCCAGCACAAGTGGGTTCAGTTTTGAGCCCATCAACAATATCAGGTGAAGTCTGATCTGTAACCACTCAGGGCTCCAAGCGGCTCAACAGTTTCAGACAGCTGGAGGCTCAGTATACAGGATCGAGGTTCTCACACGTTTCTGGGCGTCGGTGCAGGCAGGTCCGTTACTCCACTTCGTTGGGTCTGTCCGTTTTATCCTTCCTTATGACGGGCAGGGGGTGAGCCTCGGTATTGAAGACCCAGTGTTCGAATGGTAGGTGGTCATCCTCAGAGAAGAGGAGGTAGAGATACCTGTGGGAGAGAAGAAGGGGTCAGATCAAGTTGCTAAACTACGAAATGTTGCAGCAAACTTAGCATAAATGATCCAAAATAAAGTAATGTTTGTGACTGTGCTGTGGTCCCACCCGAATTCATTATTCATAAACTGTTTAAATGCGCTTCAATTCCCTCCTTGATTTCTTTATGAGAGTTATGGAAATCAAAATAAAATAAAATAAAAACAGTTTACTCCTGAGCATTTCAGCTTTTGCAATATTTATTCGATGGTTTCGCTAAAGCCGTGATGAGACCGATGTGGAACTGAAAGCAAAGAATGGGTGCGACTCTATTTCAGACTGGTTTATGAAACTTGAAGTCATGCAATTTTTGTGCTTCGCTGTCATCAAACCGCCCTGTTATGAAACGGCCCTGAAATATTATTATCCATCAAAGGAGTGATAAGCAAATTGAAAGAGTTTCAGGACAGCTGGCGGTCCTGTGGCGTCTTATCAGATTTCATCATGTTGAGTGAAAAACAAACGATTTGTTTTCAACTGGTTGCAAATGAAAATTTAAACAATGGAGCTGAAGAAAAGGGACAAGCTTAAAAAGAAAGCGTGAGCTAAGGATGAAATAATGACTCAGTAGAGAAGCTGGTCGTCCACGAAGCCTTCAAACTCCAGGACGAGTCCCCATCCTCCTCTGCTTGCCTGCCAGCCAAACAAGCAGACAGCAGCGAGTGATTGAAGGCAGACAGGAGTGTGAAGTACGACGGCGTCCTTGGCAGCATCGGGAAGATGAATGCTGGAAGATGCCAGAGTCCCCGAGTCACATTAGGAGGATTAGACTTGTGGGTTCGCAGCTAAATGGGATTGATATTTTCTGTGTCTGCCGAGGTCTGTTTCAGTTCCCTGACCGATGGGGTAATTATTATGTTAGTGTCCAGGCTCGTGGTCAGTTACGCAGTTATTCTGCCTTCCAGTTGTCTGTGGGGGGCCTTTAATGTGAGAAAATGCTAATAACACATTAGCATTCAGAGACACTTTTTTCTTTTCTGTTCCACTTGCCTAGACAAATAGCCAGCTCTCCCTTTTATGTCGATGAAGAGGAAAAATAAATCTCTACAAACTGATCTGAGAAGGAAGTCGGACACTTTGGCTGTGTTGGTTTCTGTGTCCGTGAGTGTTTTAATCAGGAGTAGAGGTGACGCTTGTTAAAATATACTGCCTATAAAATAAAAGCTGGATTGGATGGCACTTCGCCCCCATAAGGCTCTGTTAGGATAACCTTGACTTCCTGTCAACAGCTGTCTGCTATGTGGGGAGGAAAAAAAATGATAGAGGTGGAGGAGGAGGGGGAGATGGAGGAGTGGCTGATATCATTTCTAAGGGAGCAAAGGAAACGGAGAGGATGATAAATCTGCATGAGGCTCGGGAGAAAGAGGCGAATAGAAACTTTGGTCTTTAATCAGTCCATCCATGAAGTCCACTGCTTCATGCATGCACACAGGTTTTGATTTTATGTTATTATATTTGTCTCACATGATCAAATACTAAACATCAGGGAAGCTGTGAAAACCTGTAATGTATATTTTAAACTCTTTCTTGTCAATTAAGGATGTAATTTGAACAATAATCAGCAGATGAACACAGTAATGAAGACATTCATGCTGACGTTAATGGTAACTGTGAGAAACGCTGATATCAGATGTGGGAAATCAATGTATTGATTTGGTATCTTGTGCCTTTAATAAATGCATTCCATTCAACTTTAAAGCTTAATTGCTTAATAAAAAATGAATATTTGACTGTGAAAAAAACAAAACAAAACAAAAAACATAACTCTCAACAGCTTTAATGCTCTTTAGAGAACAACCAAAGGGTCCTTCTCTCCGTACTCATTGAATCTTAAAGCCTTTGAAGAGTCCTCATTACATTTCCACAAAACTTAAAAACAGTTCTTAGCAGCATTTAAAACACGTGCCATAATACCACAGATTCAGAATCTGTTTGTGGCAGGCAGGGGTTCATTTGCACACTCTTATATGTCGTGTGGGCATAGAAACTGTTGGCTCTTCCTCTGAAATCTGTGACTTAACCTCAAACTGTGGTCACCATGAGCTGATACTAGCAGAAAAGCTCAGACGATGAGGCTTTGGCCTCTCTCCCTCTATCGCTCATTCATTATGTTTTGCTGTAACAGTTGCTGGGAAGCTTTTGTTGCACTTAACCTAAGCTGTATTCATCATATCATCTTATTTTTTGTTTTTGTGAGCTGTTGGCGTGTAAGAGACGGGCAGTAAAGACGTGCCCTCAGACAGAGCAGTAAAAGAAGACCCAGCGTGATTGATGATCAGTAGAAAGAACTCGCACAAAGGACCATTTTGGATGTTTAATGTTAAGCTGAACAAGAGTTTTATGCTACAGTCACACTAAAAAAAGTGTTTGGATACGTGTGCTGTGTGAATTGTTTGCTTTGTAGATGGGAATCAGGGCTGAGACGGTGATAAAAGTGGGAATAAGACAGAGTCAGTCTGCGATCAGTCTGTTTGTGATCATCATATGTGTGTAAAACACAGCTGGTTGCCATAACTACTTGCAATCGGTCGCCAACAGCAAAAACATTCAATGCAAACCACCGAATTTTCCTCGTCACGAGGACATTGTTGTCCTGTTTATATTCTAGTGTGACCCTTGGCATAATTTTACACTCCTGTCAGATTGTCACTCGGCATCAGCAGAGACCTGAAGCCACAGTATTGATATCTGATCACCAGTCGTATCAGCTCTAAAGCTCAACTGCACTAAGCTATTTTACAGCCTGTGCGCGCTTTCTCAATGCTGCTGAGTCTCTGACAGCTGATTTTAAATTCGCCTTGAACATTTTTCTTTATTTGCTTCAGGCAACTTAAAAATATTCATGTAAAAATGGATAACTGGTCAGAAAACCGTGCCCTACAACCATGTTCGATTAACAGGAGCAATGAATGCAGAATTTTCAGCCTTGATTCCCCGGCTCTTTTAAGCTTTAATTTTAGCATAGTTCTACGCTGTGAATGGTTGATTGTGTTACATCCATAAAAAAATACATTAACTAGAAGCTGCAACTTTGAGCAAAATACTATAAAAGTACCTGAAAAGAACATGTGATGAATAACTCTTGTGTAGCTGCTACTACTACTTACCTGACTCTGGCACTACTGACCCAATGTTTCATAATGACACTAACACTGAATGCTCTCCTTGTTCCTCCTTTGCGTAGTCAGACACACAAAGTAAACACAAACACACACAGCAAAGTGCATGACCACACGCTTCCACCCACGTTAAGCTGTAGCCGAGACTTTTCCTCGTGCTTTAAACAGACTTGTCTTCTTGAGCACAGCTGGAGAGGCGAGAGAAAGCCCTATTAGCCACCAGACATCATACTGCGTGGCTGACAACACGTTTAAAGAGCCATTTTTTGGCTGCACACTCAAACGCTCACACCCTCACGCACACATTAACACATTCAAACTGAGACGTGCACATAAGGGCAGTTAAGTAAAAATATCAGCCATGTATTAAGAAAAAAGTGAGACGGCGTGCTGCCTGTGGTGTGTAAGGACATGCGGTGTTTTTCACAGTTTCTGGCTTTCTCTACTAGATTTCTGCTATTTCAGATCTAATGCATCAAGGCACCGTTTTCAGTCGTGAAGAGGACGTTTATTTATAATGCTGCAAAATATTCTTTTATTCAGAACAAGTTCTGCACATTTGTATCCAATTCTTTTCATGTTATTATACGTCCCAGAGGAGAAATCATCCTAGTTTAGCTTTGGACTGTTTCGGGAATGCAAAACAGATGTTGAAATGAAAAAAGATGAATATACTCTGGTTTACCAGTAACTCTAAAAGCCTCTTTGTCATCTACAGGATAGAAAGTCCCAGCTGCGTTTGAGTTTTTTTTACTCCAGAAGAGCAAAAAGAGGAGGGCACAGATATGACATTCACACCCGAAATGTCAACTCTAACCAAGACAAGACACGGAATTGAGCCACATAACAGTAAACCATCCACATTAAGCCTTTGGCGTTGACCGCATCCCACTTCTGACAAAGAAAACTAACCAAAAGGAAGCTTTTTTGAGTCCTGAAATTACAAGCTACTCAATATTTAGGACTAAATGAGAGATGACAGATGTCTTACAGCTTTTCTCTAGACACAATATTTCTTGTTTGTTTTGGCTTTTTTTAAAATGGAAATTCATCCCACGTAACCAGCTCTGCTGTTTAACTCCAAATTCATCAATTTAGCTCCGCTTTGACAAATATTTCAGGCAGAATGAAAACTATGCATGTGCATGAGGGAGTGGACTTCAATTGGACTTTAAAAAGAATAACATAAATGAGACCTTGAAGTTGTTTATATCTCCAGCTGTCTGTCCACAACAGCGTATAAATGAGGCTTAAGCTTGTAGATGCTACTGGTGTTACAGCAGTACAGCAAGATCTTTGCCACTGGTAAGTCACTTTGGTTCTCCTTCATGTCATCTTTTATGCCAAAAAATGCACTTTTTTTTGATTAAACATAACCAGTCTATAAGAAATCATCTGGTTTAATTGTTATAGGAATGACAGTGCATTTTACTGAGTTGCACAGTCTGGGGCAATAGAAGAAGAAAGCTCTTTTTTATAGCCTACTGCTGAGAGAATTAAGGTTTGTACTGTGTTGCATTTTATTTTTAACCCTGTAGTGCAGTCTTCCTTTGTACATATTTCTTAGTACTTCTTTGTAGTTATTTATTAATAAATAAGTAAAATCCTTACAGCTGATATTCCTCTACTTCATATTCATTAAATACAGAAAGCTAAATCTTTGGTTTATACTATAACTAGGTTAACTGTGATTCACGGCTTTTCTCTCTGCCTCTGACCTCTGAATTTCACTGTGAATTGGATTCTGGCCTATTCTGAAAACAGCACATTTATAATCTGTAAAAACATAAACAGTGAAAACAACATTAGGACAATTTGATACTAAATGTGTTTTAAGGACCTGTAGATACTCTGGTTACAATGTTGGGCTGTCCAGGTATAACAGCAACAGCTATGTAATCCCACTGTTCACAGTTTGAGTCCAACTTTTTTTTTAACACTTCAAGTTGTCCCTGTTTCCCTCTGTCCCACATTCTTCCTCCTAAGAAATCCATATTAAACTATCTGCTAAAAGCAAAAAGACCTAAAGATTCTGCTTTAAACACTTTCCCCTCTATTTCTGCCTCATTTGTGAACCTAATATTTTTTCCATCTTGCAGTAGCTTGCAATTTTGGGCCTAAAATGTACTTTACTTATTTTGTACAGCTACAAAAGTCCCTCAATTTCAGGAAGTGTGTGACACTCTTCCCTGGAGCTTAGTGTGAATGAATGACAACCTGTGTGTGTCTGTGTGGGGCTTGACATCTCTGTCAGTTCGGGGCTGCAGGGTCCTAGTCGCACCATAAAATGCAATGACAGCACAATCATAAGAGGACAGAAGTGAAGGGTGTTCAGTTTGTGTCTTACTTGAGCGTCTCCGCCAAGTAGAAGCTCTGCTGCACGTCGTCGTAGTTTGGAGATGAAGCGTAGACATCTCTGACGCCGCTGTAGCCTCCGTCGACTCTACAGTGCTGCTCCAAGGCCTGAATGAGAGACGGTGATGGAGACGGACAGCACGGAGGGAGAGGGAGACAAAGAAGGCCATCGGTGACTGGTGACATAAATCACTGAACCTTAGGAAGGATTATTCACTAAATCATGAGTGACCTTGTGTGAGGTTTTTTTGTTTTTGTTTTTACAGGCAATTTATGGATTTTTAAATAGAAAAACTTTACTTTTCCTTTCAGAATTTTGTCTCCAGTTTTTCTCAAATTAACACAATCTTCGTTTTCATAGATAGATATTTTACCTGTACAGCCTCCCAGCCCCACTCTCTGTATTTGGGGTCATGGGTAAACCTCCACATGTACATGTAGGTCTCAATGACCTCAGGACGGAGGATGAAATACTTCTCGTTCTGGCGGGTGGCGATGGCCTCAACGCCGCCATCGAAACGGAAAGCCTCTGGTCCGAGTTTCAAAGCTGCAAAAGACAAGAACAAGACAAGAAAATGTTGAGAGATGAAGAACAGAACCGTGTTTTTCAGCATATTTATATATTTTGCATGTTTGCACATGTATGGAAAACCACATGATGTAAGGCTTACAGAATAGTGAACATGCCTGGTTTTCTTCCCTTTCACTTTGTTTTTATTATTTATCCATATATTTACATAAAGTAAACTAATATGTAAGTAAGTAAATAAGTAATATATGTAGATGCTGTGCAGAGCAACACCACTAACTTAGAGGTCAGTGGTCACTGAAAAGAATAATGCTATTCAACTGCTAGCGGTGAGGTTTCTCCAGAACTGCATTCAAATCACGATGACTCAGAACACGACCTAAGGATGCATTTAAATGAGGGAGATAAATACAATTATCTGAATTAAGAGGAAAACGGGAAAAAACTGCATCCTCTTAAAATATGGCATTGATTAAAAATGAGAATTTTAAATGAGTCTAAAAGCACTTTCCCCTCAGTAAGCACTAATTTGAGTGTCTTGATTAAAAAAAATGAACAGTGCATGGACAGCATTCAAAAACCTGACATGAAAGATCATTTGGAGAGTAGTAATCGTTTAGATTGAGCCATATTCAGAAATCTACACATGTTATGGGGCGATCGTGGCTCAAGAGTTGGGAGTTCGCCTTGTAATCGGAAGGTTGCTGGTTCGAGCCCCTGCTTGGACAGTCTCGGTTGTTGTGTCCTTGGGCAAGACACTTCACCTGTTGCCTACTGGTGGGGGTCAGAGGGCCCGGTGGCAGCCTCGCCTCTGTCAGTGGCTGTGGCTACAATGTAGCTTGCCATCACCAGTGTGTGAATGTGTGGATGGCTGGATGTGTAAAGCGCTTTGGGGTCCTTAGGGACTAGTAAAGCGCTATACAAATACAGGCCATTTACCATTTATGTCAACAGATTCACTTCTACAATGAAATGCATCTACGCTTAACAAACCAAATCAGAAGTGGGGCAAAAAGATGAAGTGGAGTGTCTGTTTACTTGTCCTGGCATAAGACTCGTGACAGGTGCGAGCGATCTCCGCTGCCTGCTCCATCTGGTGGCCCGTCTTGTCACCGGGCGCCCCATCAGCACCCAGAGCGATCATGCCGCCTGCAAAACAGGTCAGGTGGCCCATCTTATGCTCCAGAAGCCCCCCCTTCCACTCCGCTATGTAGGTCAGCCCATTGGTTGACTTCCTCATCAGGTTGGTTTCTATTGCCTGAAAGAAACGCAGATTACAAACGTGTTAGCTTTGGTTAAAATATGTGACTGTTGTCGCACCTTAAAGATGAGGAAGAGAACATTAACAGTCAACACAGATGTGCCTAAACTGCAGGCTCACCTAAGACTCTAGAAAGTGACCATGGTAATATAATATCATGGGTTGAATTTATCCATTATTAATGGCTTATTTGACTGACAGGTGGATGCCAGTGCGGCAAATCGGAGTCTTCATAGCTTCACCTGCTTTAATTTGAATCATTGAACAACAAAAATCCACTTTGAGCTTTTAGATCAGAGGTGGGCAATTAATTTTCCCAAGAGGCCACATGAGAAACTGGGACTCTTGTGGAGGCCCGCATAAATTAGCTAACTTCAGGTATGCCCAATAACTATCTGATTTCTTTATACCGATTTATCTCTATAGACCAATAAGCTTCTAAAGGGATAAAATTCACACTGAGCATAAGAGAGTTCATCTTATTCGTGTCGCCTTCAACAACAGTCCCAGTCTCTCATGTGGCCCCTTGGGAAAATCAATTGTATTAGACTGAAACTGTTATAACAAGGCTACAATTGATACCGCCAGAGATCTGGGATGACCCCTGACCACATGAGAAAACATATGCTTGAAGCTGTGCACAAACATTTCTTTCTAGTCATAATATGTCATAATAATTTCCTCCTTATACTCAGTCTCAGCAGATATCTGCAGATAAGAAAACATGTCAATCCCATTGGGAAATATAGAAATGCTTGTGGCTGTGATTTACCTTCATCACCAAAGACTAGATTGCTAGATATGATTGAAAAACTACAACTAAATCATCTTAAGAGTTACTGATTTGTGTTGGTTCCAGTTGTGATCTCTAATGGATAAGTAGTGCTCCAAAATGAAAAACCTTGTATTTTTCTATTTACAGACCCTTTAAGGAGCACAAATTGTGCAAAAAGTAAAAGTTATTCCTTTTTCTGTTTTGTTGTGACTTTGATAGACCTCCTGCTGCTTCTCTCCTCCCGAGCCTCTCCTTGACAAATAAAACAAGAATGCCCATAATCCTCAAAGATCAAGAGGGATTATGGGTAAACTATCCCAGCGTGTTTAAGTCTGAATTTTAGTCGCTGTGTAATATATTCGCTCCCAGTGTGCCACAGAAAGACAGACGGACAATCAGCTTTCTCCAGCTGAGACCCGTCGCTTGTCACCTCAACTTAAGTTGACAATTTGTTCTAACAGAGAAAAGCTGTCTCCGTGTGTCTGTCTGTGCGTGTGTGTCATCTATCCTTTGGGTTTACGAGTGCTGTTGTTACTGTAGATGTGTCTTTTGTTATTCAGCAGTAGTCCTGTCAGCTGTGTCATCCTTCCATCTGCTCAAACTCTGTATCAAGCTCCTGAAGATTATATTACTTGAGATAAAAATCACAAAACTCTCCACTTTAGACTAAAATCAAATCTGTGAAATAGCATATTTTAGCATAAAACTACAGAGGCAACAAGTAACACTTGCAAAGCTTCAAAGCTAGACAGAAATAAATACAACAAAAAGGCCACTTTTCAATATCAAAAGATGGCCTCATGCTTGTTTTCCGCTATTACCCAACAACCATTTATTATGACTCAGAGGGTGCACGGAGGATGCAAAACCCCAGAGTAAATCCACACAGTTCACCATCTGTAAACAGACCCTTATGCTGTCAGTTCAGCAAGAACAGCCTCAAATTAGAGGTCACTGGCTGTATGTGTAATACACTCACAGCCTTCCAGAGGTTACCTCGGGATTCCCCATATATTAGCAATAAAATACAAAGCAGATACACAATACTGTCTGCATTACTCACTAAGTGCTAACACATGATAAAGACTGGAAAATAGAATCACGACTAATACTTTGTAAAATTAATTTAGTACTACACAGACTTATTTATACTTTTGGACACTACTAGAGCAGCTTTGCGTGATTCACTATTCAAAATAATCCTTATTTATCTTATACTGGGTCCTGGTGCAGGCCCTCAGTTCATTCCATGCTTTAAACAAGCAGTTTAGCTCCTCCCCCTTTAAGCCAACTGTCTTCTGATTGGCTGCCCTCACAAACAGACGTTTGTAACTGAGCGTATTGAGCAGCATTACCTGTATACACCAACCTCATTATCCTAAGCTTTTGTATGAACATGCACTATTGTAACACAAAATCTTACAATTGTCTAGTTAATTGGAAAAAAAAAATTGTTCAAATATCTTCTTCAGCAGTTAAAACCCCAAATATTCAGAAAAAGGCAGCAAATCCCTCTAAGTTAAAGGATGAACCTGGACAGTATTTTTGACATTTTGCCTGAAAAATGATTGAGTGATTATCAAAATCACTCGGTCCGGAAACCCACAGGCTTGTTTGCTGACTTGGCCTCTGGCCGCAATGGCAGTTTTTTTCCACAAATAAGCGATATCTGGGCCAAACCTTCCCATTACATCTGCTGCTCATTCTTTACAAATACAGAAGGTTGACGATGTGTCCCAGTTTATGTGAGACTGCACCTCGTTTTCATCCCTTCGTACCACATAATGAGACAATGTTCCACATTTTGATTGGCTCGAGTTTACAAAAGTTACCAAAGCAGGACAGACACTTTTAGAGCAACAACTGAACAACAAGGACGAAACTTTGAAAGGTAATTCTCACAGGTTTTATTTAGAGGTTACAGATATTTATTTTGCTCTTGTTACTATTATTATAATAAAGAGACAAAAACACAGTAGATTTAACAGGTAACTCTTTTAACAGTTATTTGGATAGAAAAAAAAAAGGAATATGATTGTAAGGAGACTTGGAAATTTAGTTGGATAAATTACTGTATATTTGTCATTTATGTGCCAAATATATGTATTTCAAAAAAAAAAAAGATCACCTCTCAGCATTAGTGGTGTTACTCACACAAACACACAGTTTGTGTCACGTTTGGTTTGCTGCGATGTGGTCACCTAAATCGCAAATACAGAAAAAACGCCAAACTAGAACGCTTCTGGTGCAAAAGTAAAACGTTCCTGCAGATATCTGTTTATAAAGAGATCCACTATCACTTGAATGATAGCTCATTTTAGTACGTGCTGCAGTTCCAGTGAAGTCTGTGATTGAAACTCTGAATACTTCTTTTTTTCCCCCCTCAATCACAAACAGTCAAAGTCGCCTCAGCTCATTTTGAAAAGCGTGTCATTGTGTGTGTGAGTGTGTGTACCTGCAGGGCATCGTAGTACATCTTCTTGCCTTCCTCATCAGTCTTGTCAGACATCAGCCAGGCCTTGAGCAGGTACTCATAGAAACTGTCACCCAGGCCACCCACGGACACGTGATCTGCAACACACAGATAAAGAAAGGAGTGAAACTCACTTAGACACACAGAAACAAACAGGCCTCCCCATCTGTCTTCTGGGTTAGATCACACTGCCATCCAAAGATCATCCTCACATGACACGGTGTATGTGGCATACCGATGATCCAAGATAAACAACAGCACTCTGAATGTGTGTGCGTGCTATTTTTTATTGGTGAGCCTTCACAGAGCTGAGCAAGCCGAGCAGCATTTTTGCATTCGTCCTGCTGATGGTCAGCAAAGCCTCATCCATATGCATGCATCATTAACAGAGTCTGAGGTTGTTTGTGGTGTGCAGAGATTAAATGTCAGCTGTGATAATGTTAAAGTGAGGCAAAAAGGAGGACGGAGCTGAACACAGTTTGTTTCTGAGCTGATAACGGTACCTGGCCTTCCCCAAGTTCAATAACAAAAAACAGGAACAGCAGCACCAGCCAATCAGGAGAGATGACACACGCTTCAAACAGACCATCAGCAGTCTGCCAAACGGCATTACAGCTGTGCGATTGGAATAAATTTGTGCAAACATTTTTTTAATATATTATAAACAGAGAGAGGATGGAAACTATGACTTAATCATCACAAGTCACTGCCACAGCTGTTTGGATAAAATACAAACACTTCAAATCACAATATGTAAAAGAGAGAGCCTTTCTGGAGAGCTGCGGTGTGGAGATATTTTTTCAGACAGCGTTAAGCAGCAGAGATCCCCGAGTTATAATTTATTCAACAAATGCCTTCCCCATCACTGTTGCATAATTTCTGTCTAGATGAAAAAAATCTAAGACGAGCATAAAAGCGACGATTTTTCCTTCTTTTGTTTGAACTTCCAGTTTCTATTCTAATTGAGTATGTCATCATTTGCATAAAATACTTGGATGAAATCATAGTAGCTGGCTCTGGTTAAGAGTGTCAGCTAAATGCCAACCATTATAATTGTGGATGTGCTCTCAGTGGTTTTTCAGCCCATCACATAATAAAAGCAAGTAAACCACAGGTGCAGATTCAGATTTAGGATACTACAGATACTAACACCCCTTTAATAAAATAGAAGGTGGCAAAAAACAATACCTGACAGAACTCTAATAAAGGCTGAACGCATATCAGTGAAAAAAAGAAAGGAAAAAAAACATTAATAAAAGTCGATTAAAGGATTTCTAATTTGTTTTGCTGTGGAAATCAAAAGACCTGTATCAGATTCTATGTGGAAAGGTGTTGCAAACATGGCACTATCATAATGTAAAATTGAATAATAGTTTATTTTAAATGTAAAATACTCACAAAGAATTAAAAGTGGAAAAAAGAAAAAACTGTTTTTAAAGTAATTTCAGTCTTCGTTCCCTTCTCTGTGTGCGACTGCTACCTATCAACTCACACTCCACAGTCTAACTGCAATAAATTACAAAGCGCATGATCCTTCTTGTATTGTGTATGCAAAACAATGTTTCAAGCAAAGTCACTTTCTAATCCTTTATTACGCTAATTTGCCTAATCTTTGCAGTTCTTGGCAGGCAGCTGAAATGAAAACGCAGCAGGCTAAAGGGCAATTTTGGTGCCGCTCCCGATGTTGTGTTTAACTCCTGGGGCTCCACAGTTGTGACTAAATTTGGTCAAAATGCAGCATGATGACTAAGAATTTTCTAGATATGCAACATATCAGAAGAAACTGTTTGGCAGTAGCCTGACAATTTTTTTGATTTGTTTGAAGCCATGGATATTTAAGATAAATGCTCAAAAAAGGGCACCTGATCAAAACTTTTCTCCAGTCTCATACTGGTTTAATCTGTCTCTGCTGACTGCTTGAGCTGCTGTGACGAAGCATGTGTTTTTGCACACAGTCCAATACTCCATGCAATCCAATAATCCCTTTTCTTTTGGCTAAACAAACCTGGTAAAAATAATCTGGAAGGTAGTACAGTAAATTCAACTGTTGCCTTAAAATGCTTTATGCTGTGAGGTTAAGATCCTGCAATATTAGCCAGACAGTCCCTATGATTACAAAGGTGACGTTTGGAAAAGATGACGTTTAGGAAGAGACCTCCAGCAGAACCAGAGTCAGAGAGGGGCAGATGTCTGTTAAAACTGAAAAAAGCAAACAAACAAGCCAAAAAAACTCTGCAAGGTATGAGAGAGATACAGTAGTGGCATGTAAACACATCGGGAGTGAAAAGAGGTTATTGAAGTGCATCATGGGAACCTCCCAGCAGTCTGAGCCTCTAGCACCATAACTAAAGGATTGTTCAGGCTTACCTAACCCAGCCCTAACTACAAACTTTATAAAAACAAGCAAAGTTTTAAGCCTAATCTTATAAAACCAGAAGGAATGTCTCCAGAAACTAAAGAAGGAGCTGGTTGCCTGAAAGCTGAAGGCTCCCATTCTACTTTTAGAAACTCTAGGAACATGTCAGCCTGTAGCTTGACAGCAAAGTCCTCTGCTGGGATAACATGATGCTATGAGGTCTTTAAGGCATGATGGGGCCTGATGATTCATGCTGATATATGTGAGGACTTAACAAATTCAGGATTTAACAGAGAGCAAGTGAGAAGATATGAATCTGGGAGAATAACAATCTCCCCTTGTAACCCCTGTTTGCCCTCCATGTGGGCATTTTTGTAATAAGGTGACTAAATGTTGTTTGGACATGTGTGTGTCTCTGTAGCTTCAAGAACCTGGCATCCACCTTCTAATTTAAATCGCTATAATAAATTTATTAAGCCACTGGTTTCTGCTCTCTAGTGGTCAACCCCACTTAAACCAGCTTTAAGAACAGGCTGAAAAACTGATTTTGATATGCAGGCCCACTCTTTCCGCTTGTCAGTGTCACTTTAATTATATGTACCCAGCTGGCAGTTTCCTCCAACGTATGACAAGTGCTGTTAGAAAGGAGAGGCTTTTAGTGCTGGGTTCCTCTCCCAAACTATAAGTTACATCACCTCCACATTATACACCTTTCTTTATGTTCTTGTCCTTTCTCCTCTCTCTTTGTGATCAAGACTTCCATTATTTCCTCTTCCTCCAGCTTCACGTCTCTATCATTATTATCATTACCTGTTCAGTCGCACGGTGTGACGAGTCCGATAATGGCTTTAAAATTACACCCTGTTACCTGCGCCTTGTCAGAAGCACGAGCGTGTGGACCTTTGCAGCACCGGAGATGTTAAAGACGTGCCTTGGAGTGAGTATGAAAATATCTGACAGTGACACGGGTAAATAGTGGGTTTCAATAATTTAAAGAAAGTCAAGGTTCAAATGGAAAGTGTGATGACACAGTGAGGAGAAAGAAAGAGAACAGGAAGAGGATATTCCACTTTAGGCCCATCTGCAGAAACACTTCCTCTGCTGCTAGTGTAAAGGATTTTCTCTTTAGAGTGGGCCTCTCCATTTCGGCATGACCTTAGAAGTGTCCAAGTCATTCAAAGGCCTTGGAAATTAGTCTCTTAATCTGAGCCCCAACTGACATCTTTCCTATCTGGACTTAGGAAAATGTGTCACAGAGTGGTGTCAGGGTTATCTAATAGACTAAGGGAGAGGCGTGGCAAATTAGTTTAAAGACACCCCGCTCTGGAACAAACTTCGGGACTGGGGGACAATGCGTCAACATGTATTAATCCTCTATATCAAGATTACTGCATAGGTAATTCTGCATGACTCATTCCAGCTTCCTGAGTGTCCCTGGCCTAACAAAAGCTCCACAACAGCTACAAGCAGTACAACTTAACACATTTTTATTAAGCTAATTTAAACTAATATTGGATCATTCTGTCAACCTGTTTAATTACTGAAACAGCATATATCAACTTTGTTTAACGGACAAATATTAGCATTCTTTATCTTCAGTCACTGTTAACAGAGCTCCATAATATTTATACAGAACTTTCATTCGGTAAACTTTAATTAAATCTCATTTGCATAGGGATCATTTAAGATAAACACAACTGGGTAAGACATAAGTAGACAGATAAAACAAAAAACAAAGAAAGTGAAATAATCTGAATGAAAGTTATGAAAGTGACAATCGTTACGGCGAAAGTGCAGATCCTTAAGATAACATAAAGCCCAAGTTTCTCAATACTCCGAAGTTTACAATGGTTACAAAGTAAAAGCGCTACCAGCAGCAGTTATTTTCACTGTTTATTGTGATGCTTCTTTTCTCAGGGTTTGCTTTCGTTGCTTTCATGTGAGTAATTCGAGCCAAACCTTCGTGTTCGTGACTTTGGCGTCAACGGACCGTAAAATCCACGTTGCTGATGAACTCAAGGTTTCAATTGTGAGTTTCAAGCCTCACTGAAACCAACACCATGTCCATTTAGTAAATTATGGTCCCCATTGGAACCAAAAATGACAATAAAGCAGCGCATGCTTCAGGTTACGAGTCATATTAATAGTCTTCTGTATACCCAACCTAAGCACAAAACACTAATGAATGCAGTAAGTAATAAGCAAATCTATAAGCCAACGTTTAAAAGGAAAGTTTGTCAGTTCTGTCAAAAAGAGCCTCAATTAAACAGCAAAGTGCATGAAAGAAAGAGAGGGGGGCATGTTAAGTATACTCAGGCCCAGATCAGGAGGGGAGGGGACATTCGTGCTCTGGTACGGTTTAAAGAGAAGTTATCTAAAATTATGGTAAAGGATCATTAATGCACAATAAATGGTGGTAAGTTCACAGAAAATTAGAAAAATAATTGCCACCCTTTCAAAGTGTCAATCTGAGCTGAAGACAGAGTAATGACTACAATAAGATGGTATCTCTTGGTTTTAGTCAGTCCAAATTGCAGGTGTAGATCTCTTTTCTTTAAAAGATCGACACAAAGTACACTGCAGTAATCTAGACGAGCTGTAATTTGCATGCATTAGAGTGTCATTGTCATTGTGGATAAAAACGATCTAACCTCGCTGACATTCTTCAAGTGATAAATGCAAATTTTATTAATATTTCTGATACCAGACTCAAAGTCTCGCTAATTATTAACCCAAAGATTTCAACCCACAATTTTCATTTTAATTACACACTGATCCATTTCACCTTTATTCTGTGGAGGAAGTTATGACTCAGTCTTGCATTTGTGCCCGAGATAAATCTTAAAATGTGCAAACACAACAGGAACGCTTGATTAACGTACTTTAGTATTACGCATAAAAATTATTGTCCAAAGCAAAGGCATAAACTAGCAAGAAAACGACAAGTTCAAGGGTCGAGCATTACAGCACACAGAGGAGATGTTTACTTTCTCGTTAATCAGTGAACGAACCCGAGAAGATTAACACAGTTTTTATCCGCCACATGTTAAGGATGGCCCAGAGTACTCAAAGCAGCCTTCCAAACACTCATATCTCAAATAAGCTTTAATGGAAGAACTGGGGGGCAGCTAAATCCCCAAATGAGAAAGAAAGAAAGAGTTCAACATGTGAAGGGTGTTGGCTGTGATTGGTGATGCTTAGCCAGCGGAAACCTGGGACTGAAACGTTACTGCCTTTTTATTGTGTCAAGACAAACAAACGCAAACAGTTCATGCGAGTGGCAACTTTGATTTGGATGCAGTTATGCCATCTGTGAAACATCTGGCACACTCTGACTGTAGCATCTGGCAGTAGGCAGGAACTTTAAAGTGGACATAAAACACTACATGTATCGAGGCTATTTGAAACCATGGATGCCTACTCTCAAAAACTCTCACAGATCTAACACTGTTTGTGAAACTGGGTTTAAGAAGCATCTAAAGTTCAAGTTTAGAGTATGTTTAGCATCATCTTGTGCCTATAAAGAGCGTGACAGCACTGTGGTGCTGCTAATGGACCTACAATAGTGTATGTTAGCTAATTAGTGACCAATAAGTCTAAAAGACACTAAACCTATAAATCAGTCTAAGGCAGTCACTTTTGTACTAGCCCTGGCTGCAGCAATGAATTATACATAAAAAAACAAAGGATATGCTTGTGCACTTTCACTCTCTTAAGTAGGTACTTCAAACAAACAAAAGAAAGATCTAACGACGGCCAAAAATATGGAGCAAGAATCCTGGATGTGCACAAAACAGCTTCTCAATGATGCAATCAAAACAACTTGGATTCCCAAAGTTTCTTATCTTACGTTGACTTTATATAAAGCTCTCTCATAACTATATCCAAAAAATTTAGTTTATTGCACAGCTTCTGATATGTAAACTGCAAATAAACAGTGCACCATTTTGCCTCAGATCCTCGTACAGCACACCTCTCGGCTCAGTGAACCACACACGTGTGGCGGTATGGCCTGACTGGTCAGTCAAACTGGCAATGACTTGTCACATATGTTTTTAAAAGTACCCAATATAGACGTCTACCACATCATTTTTGAACTTTTACTTGTTTTTAGCCAGTGCCATTTAGACATTCATTAGATATCCAACCTAGTGAGAGTATTCAGCGGTTAAAAGTTAATTGGTGAATAGCAGGAATTAGCTTGATTTTAAGCCTTTGCAATAGCGTGAAAAGATTTCAAATGTAGATGTTAAATAGTCCTCTGAATGGCTGACTGAATTTATCCCAGAAAATAACGTCCACAGAGGTTTAATTGGTGCTTGAGCCCCCCCCCTCATAAATTATCCTTTGAGCTTTCATCTTCTCTTATTACTTTTTCCCTGCTGTATAACTATATTTTATTGTGTGGATTATTTCTTTTTGTAAAGCATTTTATAACACTGTTTTTGAAAAGTACTATACAAACATTTAAAGCAGTATTAGCATACATGTAAGCAATACAAATAAAAAGGGAAGAAAGAACAAAATACAGGTTGTGAAACTGGGAATCAGGACTTACGTTGGCCCCACTGTCCACTGTTGGGATTCAGGTAGTTGGGGTATAGCCCCTGAGGTTTTTCCAGGCGATTGAGTACTTTACGGATGTTCATTACCTAATATTAAAAGAAAGAAAAAAAGAACAGAAATATTTCTTAAAATTCTCAAAAGTTGCAAAATATGCACATTATATTTTATTATACAAGGGACTAGCTAGTTAGCAGGCTAATTTTACTAAATATCTATACACAACAATACTAAGATGTAATTGATATCAATTAATGTGAACTGTTTATCTCCGGTTTAGGATTTTTGTTTTTCTTTATGTAATAAAGAACTAATACTCTTACATACTCATCTTTATCTGGACTCTGGACTGGTATATTTCATTGCTTAGATATTTTTTTTATTACAAAAAAACATATTTTAAAAGTCTCTGTGTCTGTTACCTTCTGAGCAAACTCTGGATTTCCTGAGAGTCTGCTGAGGTGCATAAACTCCAGATGCAGGGTGCCATACTCTGCCAGGATGCTGCTACCACCCGATGCCCATGGCCAGTTCCTACCAATACCACTGCACAAACACAGAAGCAGAAGGAGACAGAAATGTATGTTAAACGCAAAAACAATAATAAGTGTGACATTTTTCGATTTTCACTGTATGGAATATTTTTTTAGGACATGCCAGAAATACCTCACCTCAGAGGTGCCCCAGGAGGCTTCCTAGCCAAATGTCCAAACCACCTCAATTGGGTGTTTTTGATATGGAGGAGTAGCGCCTCTCCCAAATAACTAAGCTCCTCATACTCTAAGATAGAGCCCAGACACCCTACAGAAGAAGCTCATTTCCACCGCTTGCATTCGTATCCACAGACTCATTCTTCTGGTCACTGCCCAGAGCTCATGGCTATAGGTGAGCGTAAGAACATAGACTGACAGCTTAGTTTTCATGCTTGGTTCTGCTGCACCACACCAGACTGGTATAGTGTGCAAATCACTGCTGATGCTGAACTAATCCATATGTCAATCTCCCGCTCCCTCACTCTTGAACAACTACAGCGATTACATTTCCTGTCTGGCTTGGGAACGCCTTGGTATCCACTCCCAAAAGAGCTGGATGAGGTCACTAAGGAGTGGGAGGTATGGGCTTAGACTGCTGCCCCCGTGATCCGGACTCAGATAAGTGACAGAAAATGGATGGATGGATGACGAACAAATGCATGACAAAAATAAAGCAAATCAGAACAAATGAGTAACATAATAAAACTTTTAACTTGGGCACATACCTGCAAACTTACAACACCCATTCCCACTAAACAGGCAGAAAGTCTTTAAAAAGCCATCTTGAAACTCTTACTTAGAAACCAAACTCCTTAAAAATCTGAAGACTGCTAAACAGTTCCTGAAAGTTTGATCTTATTTTTAAAAGTAATTACTATTCAACCGATTTTCACTCTGAAGGCATTTACAAATAGATTCCTCAAATAGATAAAGAGCAGGGTATGTTAATGACACTAAAATTAAACCAAACGTTACACTCCGTTTGTTATATTTATGCACATGTCTGTTTTTCCCACAGTCTTCACCTGGCAGCACATCATTCTTTGAGTTTACCTGTCAGTCAAAAGGAAACTTGTTGGAGCCTGTTCTCTGCCAGGAAACAAAAAAAAGGTGCGTCTGCTCTCGGGCCATATGTGAGAGTTACCAACCTTGGCGTGCTTGACAAGGACAGAAGACCTTGCAACTGGGAGTGTGTGCATGTAAGTGTGTGTGCTGGATCATTACAGCCACTGACAGATCACTTTCAGACCAAGGACTGATGACTCTGGTGGTGGTGCCTGAAGTAACTACTCATGAATACATATGAACTATTCACTACACTGTCAAGCACACACCGGGATGTCGGCCCTACAGCAACTACATATGGACACATGTACTACACAAAAACACACACACACACTGAAGCAGAGGAGACATCCAACAAATGAGAAGAAGGGGGAGGAGAAGGAGTGTGGATTGGGAGATGTGCTGCACAAACACACACACACACACACATAGAGACAAACCCACACATCTCTTTAAAGAGGTGGATGAACATACTAATTATGCCCCCCTTCTTCAACTCATCATGTTGCATAAGCCATAATTTGTTTCCCATTACACCACAGATTTAATCAAGTCAACCAAACACAGGGACGACCACTGCCGCATCAGGCAGCGAACACAGAGTCTGGCAAGTGTCAGAAAGCAGGAATGGTGAGAAAACATCCCATCACTGCACACCCTGATTAATTTGGGGGTCAGCTCCCAGCAAAAATTTAATTGGCACTGTCACACCGCTGAGATTGTGTATAAACACACACATATATTTTGGATTAAGTTTTTAAGCTACATTTTAGTCAAACACTATTCCTTCATCTCCGCCGCCTATCATTCAACCGTAGTTTTGATCTGTCTATCCATATTTTTAGTCCCTTTATAAACCCTGTGATGAACAGTAAATCCTTTTGCTTGTATGGGTGGGATTGAGAGACAACGCACACCTTTCCAGCTCGCCCCTGTCCACCTCAATCCCCCTAAAGCCCCGCTGCAAGAAGCACCAAATCCATGTTAGGGAGTCTAAAACAAAAGAGAGCCAGACAAAACCTAAAACCCCCAACGGTGCCTTTCAACTTTCTTTGTTAAGAAGGGCTTTCTGCTTCAGGCTCTGGGTGTGACCACATAAAAAGGGGCATTTCAGAAAGATCTCTGTGAGCGCCACCATTCCCAATCAAATAAGTTATCAAATTATGATGTAAAAAGAACCTGGTGATTTAGTGCACAGAGTGGTAAAACCAACATTTATGTTCAAGTTAATTATTTTATCGCTGAACGCGCTCTCTGTGCTGCTGTTTAGTTCTAAGGTGACAGCTGGAGATTAAAGCTCTGAAACTTGTCCCCTAATATAAAGAAGACACGGAAATCACTTCAATTTGTTACAGATCAAAGTGAAATTAATTTGATTGCTGATTTGATTAATCACACATTTCAGTACTTACGGCCTTTTTTTGTGCAGTACCGTTAACAAATGTCATGAATATAACACTATGCTTAAATTACTGAATCAGTTCTGTGCTTGGATGAATAATCTCACTTCTTTCATTCTTAGCAAAGCATGCGATGCATGTTAGAAACAAAGCTTCAGGGCTAAAAAATGAAGCTAACATGTGGTTCCTCTAACGGCCACTTGAGGTTGACTCTAAGAAATCCTCAGACTCTCGTGTTAAAATGTCCAGCTTTAGAGTACTAAAAAGCATTTTACTACCAGTTTCAAAGAAACAGTTTTAGTCTCTGTGTTCAGTTTTAAAAACAGCTACTGAAACAAATTTGCACTGGGTGAAATGATGGTGAAAAATCTGCTTCACAGACGTTCACATTGATTCTTGTGAGCACCCAGAGCAATGTGATTACTCTGGGTGCTCTTGGCTTGAAGAAAAGACAATAAAACTGTAGGACTGTTTTGGTAAGTTCTACAAATCTGTTCATGTGGTTTTTGTCCAGCTGTTCCTGTTGGTTTTTGTGAGCAAATCTTCGTGGGTTTCCAAAAACAATCCAGAAACTGTATTTGTGTGATTAAACACTGTAAGAGATCAGGTAGTGGTAGTCTTTACCTGGGGAATTCAAATAATTCGTAATAATTGTGAAGGTAATCGGTGCCATAATTAAAAAATAATCATAATTCCACTGAAAATTACCCTCCACATTTAGCCAGACACTAATAGTCTGGTGCAAATTAACATGAGGCTGTTTTGGATGACCTTTTCCCTTTTGCAAACTTTATTTTTAAATGTTTTTCTCCTGGCTTTTTCTTACACAAAAGAGGCTGCTCTGGTAATTACAAAAGAAAGTTTGGACAGCATTTTCTACTGTTGTAGCCAAACAACATGGAGACCTATCAACAGCGAGATCCAGGTCACATCCATTAGAAGAGTGAAATCTCGAAGGGTGGTGAGATAGATGAGATGCTTAACAGTCTATTAATATTAATGCTAGCTCTGTAGCTAGGGACCAAAGATGTCGCCGTCAAGTAAAACACAGAGCTGCTTGTCCTATGTGAGCATAAACATGTGATTTATTTCCTAAAGCACATGTGTTCTCCTGGTGAGACTAATTTTGTGTGAATGGGACTAAAGGCTGCTGTTGGCTGCTTGCAGAAACAGTGTGAACAAATGCGTGGATGAAATGATGTATTAATGCTCATAAACTCAATAATTTGGGGTCAGAGATCCGGCTCTGCTCCATTTTGGACTAAATTAACCTGTGGAGGAACACTTTGTTATCGCTATTCTGATGGAAACTGGGACTGGAAACTGGCCTCCATCCATCCATTGGCATACGGAACAATGCATCTGTCTTAGACTATTTGAGTCTACTGTTGTATTTGACTACTGATGCAAATGTCCTAGTGGTTCAGTTTCCAGGGCCCTGTTGACAACAGCATGCTCTACATCCCATTTCTCACATGGCATGTAATAGGACTTATTAGCTCTAATCTTTGAAACACATTATTTAGTTTATGCAGTCTTTGCACTACAGAATACATAAAGTGCAATATTATAAAAACGTTGTACAACTGGTCAAAGTTTCGCCTCAGCTGGCTTTCGTCCTAATTTGCAGAAAATTTTCACCCAAGATGTCTAATCCAAAATGATAACCGAGTTCTCCCTGTTGCCTGTTTTTCTTTTTTTTGTGATCTCAGTGGGCTTCATTTCCACAGCAGCGAGGGGTATGAAGGTTCATATTAAACTCTGGATGAATATAAAGTCTCGGTTTATTGAATTCAGTTCTCGAACAGTCACAGCGGTGCTTCTCACTTCTCATCGACATGCTGGCTTTTGATAAAATGTTGTGCCGATGAGCCACGCTTTATACCAAACAGTAATATTAGAATGCAGCACACTGAAAAACGTTTGGTTATTCTCTTTAAAAACCAAGCTGTAAATGTTAATCAATTTGCTACTGTGACCTAGAACTAGAGGACTTTCAGAGATTATATGAGGCTTACATCAGCGTATTAAAGCCGATATTGAACTTTCATTATAAGTTAAGAAGATGAGCCAACATGATCCACCTCTGATAGGAGTGATAGGATGGCGTTTGTTTGTTTAACAGGAACTCTTTTTTAAATTAATTTCCTTGCCTCACATTTCCCCTTTTATATTCATTAAGGGGCAGATATTATGCCATGCAGAATTTAATCCCAGTAATATCTCTCTGTTAAACAGAACAGATTATATCACACTACTTACATTTGATTATTAATCATTCAGTCCAAACGGTAACTTATCACTGTTTCACTTTTGACTTAAGTTTCAAAAACCTATGATTCCAGGTCACTTGGGTAAAGTTTGACAAGGTCCTGCTTATTAAAACACTATGGATACATTTGAAAGCCTTCTTAGAAACAAAGCAATGCCATTCTTCCTAATTTTTGTACTCCTATGAAAAATTATGTACACTCCTACTGCTTCCATAGCAATTAAAAGGGTAAAAAGCAGCCAGGGGCTACTAATCAGACATACAGTGGTCCCTCGT